TCTCTCTGTCTCTCTCTGTCTCTCTGTCTCTCTGTCTCTCTGTCTCTGTCTCTGTCTCTCTCTCTCTCTCTCTCCTCTCTCCTCTCTCTCTCTCACCTCTCTCTCTCTCTCTCACCTCTCTCCTCCCTCTCCTCTCACCTCTCACCTCTCTCTCTCTCTCTGTCTCTCTGTCTCTCCTCCCTCTCCTCTCACCTCTCACCTCTCTCTCTCTCTCTCTGTCTCTCTGTCTCTCCTCTCACCTCTCTCTCTCTCTCTCTCTCTCTCTCTCTGTCTCTCTGTCTCTCCTCTCACCTCTCTCTCTCTCTGTGTCTCTCTCCTCTCTCCTCTCTCTCTCTCTCACCTCTCTCTCTCTCTATCTCTCTCCTCTCTCTCTCTCTATCTCTCTCCTCTCTCTCTCTCTCTGTCTCTCCTCTCACCTCTCTCCTCCCTCTCCTCTCACCTCTCACCTCTCACCTCTCTCTGTCTGTCTATCTATCTATCTATCTCCCTGCATCCCCCTCCGTTCCCCCCTCTCTAACAACGTCCTCCTGCTTAAATGCTCACCCCTCCGCACGATCGCGCAGAGGGATGGATAACCATCCTCGAGACCAGCAACTTGCGCGTTCTCCGGCGAATCCCCTCCGCCACGGATAATGCCAAGAACAGTCAGTGCTATCGGGTGGATGCACTTCTTTCGAACACCACGCTCACCTGCTTTGATTACATGACGTACGTGTAGGGTTTCCCGTCCGCGGAGGTCTTCCCTCCACCCGTTCAATTCGCCCCGCCCCGACTGACCCCCCCCCCCCCCCCCCCATCCCTCCCTCGCCGCCCCTTGGCTGCCTCTTGCCGCCTGGTCGTAGCGACACTTCCCGGCGTGCCGATTGGGATGACATGTGCCAGACGTCGCGCGTGGTCGAAACCCCTGGTCCAGGGCTGACCGTGGCCCAGGCGGTCACCCGGCCGGTGATGCTGACCTCCTCGCGCGAGGCGGTCCTGCTGACCTGGAGTTCGCGTACGAATGCCTGCTTCGAGTCGCCCTTCGGCGATCCGCTCCTCGGCCCCTCCGACGCCCCGGAGGTGATGGTCAATGTCACCCAAAGCATCGATCACCCGGCATGTCCCCCGGCCCCGGGGGTCATTCGCCTGCAGGCCGGCGTGGCGGGGCTTGTGGCTCGGGACTACCCCAGTCGGCCGGGCTGGTGCGAGACGGTGCAGATTCTGGGCGGCGACCCGGGTGGCTCGGTGCCGGTGTTTGTTTTGCAATTTGGTGCGTTTGCATGTCTCTCTTCTCGCCGGGGGCCGACTGTTCATTTGCACACATATCGATGTATCTACCTGCCTATATGTATGTGTCCATGTGTCTGTGTGTCTATGTATGCGTATGTATGCGTATGTATGCGTATGTATGCGTATGTATGCGTATGTATGTATATATGTGCGCGCTACATGTGCGATGAGGTGATGGCCATGTACAACGCCGCCTGGCCAGCCACCGCACCCGCCCCCACCCGCCTTTGTGTGCCCTGGCGGCCGGCGCCAGCTAGGGGTTGGCCTTTTCTCACCGCCCATGTCCCCCCCCCCCCCTGGCCCATGTGCAGTGGCCACCAAGGCCATGCCGCGCATGATGCGGCGCCTGAGCGAGTGCGTCAATCGCCAGTCGAATATCGAGACCCAGGCGCTGGCTTATCGGCAGCAGGTCCTCGCGGCGGCGGCCCAGCAGCGGAGTCTTCGATCGGCCGACACGTCGGGGCTTTCTTCCTCCACCTCCAGCGCGTCGACCTACACGGCCCCCTCGCTGTCGGGGCTCCTGACACAGAGCGGGCTCCAGAGCACCGATCCGTCGTCCTCCCTGCTGGTTGACATGCTGACCAGCAACTCCGGGGGGGGTGGCATGTCGTCGTCGTCGTCGTCGGCTCCGATGGGGACGGCCTTCGGTGCTGCCGCCGGTGGGCGCTACCTCTCATCGGAGGGGGGGCCACACCACCGGGGCGGGCCAGGGGTCGGTGGTGGCTCGGCGCTGGTCCCTCCCGGCGGGGGCCTGGCCCCGGGGCAGGGCGTCTTCGTGTCGTCCAAGGCCGGATCCGCCGGGGCCGCCGGGGCCGCGGGCGGCGTGAATGCCGGCAGCGGCTCGATCGCTCCGTTCGCCGTCAACCCGAACCTCCCGTTTTCCCGGGACACAGCCTTCTCAGCCGGGCCGGTGGTGCGTTTGGGGCTTTTCCCCCCTGCCCTCGGGCCCCTGCCTTTGTGCTGGCCTCCCTCCCTGCTCTCCCCCAGCCCCCTGGGCCGTTGTCTTGTGGCTCATCATCGTGCCCCTTTGTGCTGACACTTCGCGATCCTTGGCCCCCATTTTCCCCTTCACACACACACACACACGCACGCACGCACGCACGCACGTGCATGCATGCATGCACAGAACTCCCTGTCGTCGGTCCGGCGCGCGCTGGTTTTCGCCCAGCCCTTCGCCATCGCGGTCATCTATGTCATCAGCGTGCTGCGGGCGGTGTCGCTGCTGAAGCGCCTGCTGGCCACGCGCGGCCTGACGCCGGCCCTGGTGGCACGTTTCATCGAGCCGCTGCTGTCTGCGGTCCGGAACATCGGCGCAGCCCTGACGCCAAGCTCGCGACTCCGGCTGCGCGGCGGCTGATGATGCGCATGGCCGGAGCGTCGACTTTTTGTTTGCCATCCAAAGGAGGCACGCTGGCTGGCTGGGGGGGGGGG